AACTCTTCTAATTTTTTTATAAATCGATTCTTCACCATATTCGACGTAAGAAGTTGTAATGATAGGATGGCCAAAAATTGAATAGTTTAGGAGAATTTTTATACTTTAATTTGACATAATTTTACATAAAGTATGAAATATTTCGTAATATAATCATTTTTCAATTATCTTATCTATATACTCTTCTGCACAAAATAATGAGAGGAATCAATTGGTATATAAAAAACACAGTTATTTTTAAGAAAAAGTATGATAATTTGCAACAAGCAGTAACATATTTTTTTTTAAACATTGATTTCCTCTCATCATTTTTGTGCATAAAAGTTTGAGATAAGATAATCGAAAAATGAATATTTAACGAGATTCTATCGTTATAACTTTTTACATCGAATATCGCGAGGAATCGATTTATTTAAAACGCATTAACCAACCCTGGGTCGTTCAAATCCTGTATAATCGAAAACGCTATATAAGTGTTGACTAGACGACAATTCAGCAGTTGTTCTGCTGAACGCAGCCATTAATAACAAGTTTTATTTTTTTTCTAACCGTAATGGACGGCTAACCGAAAATTGTCGCTATATGGCGGAACCAATCAGCAATAGAAATATGCATTGGTGACACTCTCCTTTTACCTACTCAAAGTATCCCTATCGGTATCTCGCTCGCTCCAACACCTATGTGTCGCGCTTTCCTTTCTTTCTTTTAAAAAACGTAGCTGAACCGCGTGCACCGACCGTCGACATTCATTCTATTAATTATTATATCATATATCATATAAGCATCATTAATTTATATCAAAGAGGCTTAATTTAATAAACAATAGAAATTTTTATTAAAATGTTTAATTACAATATAATATACAAAATATTTAATTATAATATAAAAAGACGAATAAAAAAATAACAATAATATTGTGAATAGAAATATTAACATGTAATTATGTAATAATAGTGTACACAAAGAAAATTTTATATAAAAAATTATTATGTACGGTAGTAACCGCGGACCATAAAGCCGCGGACTCAAAATTTTTACTATATTTCACATATGAAAAACATAGTAAAAATTTTTATAATTCCTTCATGGTTCGTAGCTACTACCGTACATAGTAATTTTTTATATAAAATTTTCTCTGTGTAGATTTTATGATTTTTATATCATATATTATTATAGGTGCCGCTCCATTTTTGCCATCTTTATTAACATTTATCTTATGACGATGTTGGATAAACAAATATGGGAAATACTTGCCGAATCGATAACAATTGGTAAGTGTATTACCAGAAAACAAATATATGTATTTGTGTACAAATTAATTAAATATATCGAGCTGTTTGTGTGTTATCATAGGTTTGGCTCTGTATTTCTTGTACGGCGTATGGCATAGTAATAACCGAGAAAGGAAGTTATCATCGAAATCTACTTTTAAGAAAGTTTTTTAACATGCTGTTTAATGTAGCGTCATAAAAATTTTAATTTTTTATAATTATTTTCAGATTTCAACGTAATATTTTAATTTTTCAGATTTTAATTAAGTTTTTATTTTTTAGGTGTGATTTTGCAGGTATAATTTTTATTTTTATTTAATGTTTCTTTATCTTTTACATACATTAAAATATATAATTTTGTAATACATATAATTGTTATATTGAAGTAAGAGTAGGTAAGCAAAAATCTATATTCTCAATTTTTTCCCTGCTTTGATTGTACAAACTGTTTGCACTTTCTTGGCATATGTATTTGCAACTTTAGCACATGAATCTTTAATTTTGTAAAAGGATTATAACAAAAAACATTAAAAAGATTAATTAAAGAATATTGCATTTTATTGATGAAATAGATGACTGCAAGGTCTCCTTAAATATTACATAACACGATATGTATAAAATTAAGTTGATGACTATTAATTATACAATGTTTTCTTATTTATCGTCTGTAATGTTTGAGTTTCATTTTATTCTTTTTCAAGTTTCTTCATCTTATTCTTTTTCTTAAATATAAATTTCATAAAGTTTTTTGGTTTTTTTTTCTTTTCTTCTTTAGCTGTTCAGTTCCATTTTCCTCATTTTTTTTCTTCATAATCACAAATCTTTACTATTTTCTTATCTTCCACTATCTGAAGTATATTTTCATGTTTTGATCTTTTTCTTTTTTTTGATTTTTTAACATCTTTCTTTTTTGACGGTTTCTTCTAAATGTTTTCCGATCCATCTAATGCTATTTTCTTATTTTTTTCAACTTCTTTCTTTTTTATTTTCACTTCAAATGCTGTAGATTCAATATCTTCCGATAATTTTATTTCTTGATCAATTGGGATTTCTTCTTTGTTCTTTTTGTCCTTCCCATATTTTTTCGCTTGTATGTAACTTCTTTTATCGTTTCATCTTTTGTGATACTTAAGTTAGCTTCAGTAGGATTTACGTTACCCCCTTTGCGTTTGCATTTTGGTAGATTTACTTCAAAGTTTCTTTCAAATATTGCCACGAAAAAACCATTGCAAAAATCAACATCCGGTTTTGAATATAAACATCTATCTTTACAATTGTATTTTTGTGAGCTGAAATTTGTCCAATCATTCAACAACTGCTTAGCAGGTACCAGATAATAAGCGTCACCAATATCAGCAAGAACTTCATCTATCACTTCTTCGTTCTCTTCGGGATGAAGAGAACAAGTGCTATAGATTATCTTCTTTACATTGGGAAAATTAAAGAGTGCATATCTAAGAAGATAAACTTGAAATGATTGTAGATTTTGTAAGCGTTCTGGTTCAGATTTGCCATCCATATTACTTTGTTTTGGTCTGTCTATAATCCCTACAATAAAAATAAATTAGGTTAAATAGATAGTTGGTATGTTAGGTAATTAATTATTACTATTGTGTACATAATTTGATTGAATAGAGTTTGTAGATAAAACTTATATAAATTCAAACACAATTAATTTGTGTGTGCAAATTAATATTACACTCTTCTTCGAGGTAACATTAATTTTTCATAAAATAGAAGATAACACTACTTTGTATGAGTGTTGCATAAAACAAAGAGCAATTTTTGCAGTTTTTTATGCTTAAATTCAAAAAGTTATTTAAAAAATGTACTTAACGCACAAACTGTAATATACAAAAACTACAAAAAATGATTTATTTTCCAGATAAAAAAATAACGCCTAATTTTGCAAATTAGGGTAATACTAATTTTTTTATACTCTTATTCCATCAATGTTTCCATTATTTAAAAAATTCTTCAAATTCTTTGAATAAACTAATGATCAAAATAATCTAAAAAAGTATTCGCTAAAAATAATCGATTATGTTCTATTATTATTTTTCAGTATATTCTTTCATTATTAATTTAGACAAAAGAAAGTAAGATTTTACCTGATCCAGAACAGCTTGGATCAACCAAAATATATTCTACATCTAAGTATTGCTTTGGGTCGAGAGTTAAAGCGTCTTGTTTAATAGGTTTCACGCAGAAGGCGTGAGTCGTCTCTATCTGATTGCATAAAGTCTCAAATCGTTTAGCATCAATTTCCACAGCGTACACCGTTCTAAAACAAAAAAAAATATATATATATATATGTATATATTGATTTATTTTAAATATAATTATTGTTCTTCAAAATACCCAGTAAACGCTGTTTGTAGCAGTGACATAACGCGGAAGTAACAAATAATATAACGCAAGTTATATGATATAAAACTGTAATATACCATACGTATTACTTTGCGACATTACAACAGTAATGTAAGATTATTATTATAATATAATATTGTTATATACGTGTTCCTTTGCTTGCTACGCGGTAAAACCAGATTTAACTAACTATTCAAGTGTTTGCTGTAAAATGCATATAAAGCCTACAAAGGACGGGTACTGACACAAGATCCAAAGTATATCTTTTCTTTGTCTTTTAATTTCTGATACAATCCCAACAAGGGATTCAGAATATTAAATAGAATTGATTATTTGAAATTGGGCGGATATAAGAATATACAGTAAATGTAATTAATAATCAAAATATCAAATATATCTACACTTTTACAGAGATTTATAGGAAAACAAACTACATACCCATGATTGTGTAATTTGGCTGCCACATATGTGGCCTTCATACCGGGTGCTGCGCACATGTCGAGCACTGTAGCCTCATTGACAAGATCCAACAAATGTACTGACAAGCAACTAGCCTGAACATGAGACAAAATTCAAAATTAAAAAAAGCAAATGTCTAATGTTAATTTAATAATTAGTTACCAATACTTGTAAATACAATGTAAATTAAAAAGAATTTTTTAGTATCTATACAAAGTCACATTTTTTACCTTATCTTGGAGAATAAGTTCGCCATTTTGGTAGCTAGGATGTTGATGAAAAGATGTTGAGAACGGAAAAGCTAGGACTTCTGGTATATGTAGATCTTGTATGAAGTAAGGCTTAGATAATTGTGATAAAGATTGTAGATATGAAGAGTATGTTGTGCTTCTGGATAACAACTTCCATCCTGCCTCCTGGAAGATAGAGATAGCTTTCTCTACTGACAACATAAGAGTGTTGACACGGACATATCTAGGCTTTTGCACTGAAAAAAAATATTACACTTATGTTATTTACTTAGTTCTATTTATTAAAGGAATATGTAAATAAATAGAGTGTAACTAAATACATGAATATTTAGGGTCCGAAAATACTTAGTATCTTAGGGATTGCAATCATATTAAAAACATGAACTTGCAGCATTCTGCTATCTCAAATAATAGATCATAATAAGAATAAGAATTATAAAAATAAAATTATGATAAAAATTATAAAGATTTTATAATCAACGCAAAAAAGACAAAAAAGAAAAAAATATTAAGTGCACAAATTGCAATTAAAATCAAATTTTTTTTATTTTATTTCTTTTTCAACTATATATCTTCTTTAAAATTCAAACAAATATATATTTAAGTTTTGTATGAAAAATGGAAAAGATGTAATAAATGTAATATTAACATTTTATTAATTTATTACATTATTATTTATAAATTGTTAGTAATGTTATGTAATGTTATGTTCTAACGAATATCTTATTGTTCCATATTTTTTATTTTATCTCCTTTAATTACATTTTTTCAATTATTTACTTATTAATAAACATCTATTATATGTTTATAATTAATATCTATAAATATAACTGTGTGTACACAAATTTGTATATACACGTGCGCAAAATTTTTTAATCAACTTTCTTATTCAAACTCTCTTTCGATTCTACTTTAACTTCATCTTCACTTAGCTCTTTCTCCTCGTCGGACTCATTCAAAGCTTGATAAGCATAACAAAAAATAATCAAATTTACTGTTATCACAGCAGCTAGTACAGAAATGCAATTGGTCATAAAAGTATCGGTATGGAATTTTAATGTAATAAAATGTCGTATTCCAAAGAAAGCAGCAAATGGTAAAGTAAACATGGCAACACTATAAAGAAATAATGTTCCCAGTACTGCTACTAAGCTCATAGTGTAGTTATTTAATCTATCACAAATTAGTTCCTGATGACAGGACTTCTGATAATGCCACAGTTTTCTAACTCCAGCCTCTTTCTGTTCCGTCAACTGGATAGTATTCTGCAGTTGCGGATAATCAGGACCATGAAGAAGGATGTTTCTACTGTGCAATGATGACTGTCTAAAGACCAAATCTCTGTAAAAATGCAAGCATACTATATTTATTAGCAGATAAAGACATGATACCTTTATTTTTATGAGAGATGAGGGTTTCTATGCATTTCAAGTTCTTCAATTCTTCTTGCAGTTTATCCTTATAAGCTAGGACCGTTAAAACCGGTTTGGAATTGTTCCTCAGACATTTTTTTCCCCACAAAAGCTCTGTTATGAGAACTCTGGCTAACCAGGAGTTCAGTCGCGGTTGTTCCGTGAGAATTTGAATTTTTTGCAAAAGCTGATCCAACATTGGCAGCATTTGTAAGGTATTCATTGAAAGACCATATATGCCGGATACATTCTAAATTGTAAAATGTACTAGACTGAGTCATTTATGTATATAAAATTTGTTTTTTTGTATAATAGAATAATAGCTAAATAATAACACATAATCAAATTATAAAATTAAATAAAATCACAAATTATACTATTGAATTCCTTTTTACTTCTCTATGCAATATAAGTGGAGGAAAAAATGTTAAGATTATCAAAAAATTTCTATATAATATAAAATATAGTATAACATCTCACCAAATTTTCTTAAACTGGAATTTTATATATTTTTAAGCGTAGAAACTGAATGTTTATAAATATTATTATTTACATATTATTATTAAATATTATTAATATTCAATATGCAATAAGAGTGTTAATTGGCAACAATTCATCAATAGTGTATTTTATTTACTTTTGTATATTAGATACTAAAATTGTAATGTAGAAAATTAGCACAGATTTCTATATAAAGAATTTTATTATTTTGATTTATAACTTATATTTTATTTATAAAATATTTTTTATTGACCAATGACTATTCGCAGATTTTACAGAGGTGCCTATCCTAAGCTTCTACATTACTATTGTAATATATTGTAAACAAAAAATGTTGCACCTTCCATATAAACTTATGATTAATCTTCTATATATTGTAATTTTAGTAAACAAAAGCATTACTTTAATAAAAAAAAAAATTTAATTTGTCAATATTGCAGTACCTCATTAATATATCATATAAACTAGATAACAACAATGCAAATAACAATTTTTTATACAGATTTAATTTCTATGTGTGATGAAGTACATGAAACAAATTAAAAAACTCAATGACAGCGGTGTTACAAACCATATTTATATAAAATAGTAATATATATTTCACAAAAATAATATGTCAAAAAGTAGTGCGATTGTCTTAAGATCGACTTTCTTCTAATCTATTTCTGTATTGTTCTAAACTTTTGTTTTATACTTACGGGATGTTTTTTTTCATAAATCAGACTCTTTAAACTGGCACCATCCTCTCGCACGCGGCGCACGATGTCAGCCGTGAGTTTATAAATACGGGGAACCTTTACAGAATGCACAAATCCGCTCGACATATTACGAATTTAAAGTTTTTTATAAATTATATCTTATTGCAAAGTTATTTCATGAAATAAATACTAGGAAATTCTGATTCAGTCGTCCATATTAATTCACTCATTCAGAGTTGTCCAGAGTGTCGTCCATAGATATCGGAAGATATCTATTTTCCGATATCTATGGTGTCGTCACGTGGATCAAGTCTTTCGCAGGATTGTAGGTTACCAGGAGCACAGTCTATGGGCCATTTTACAATGCATCGCAAATGCACGTCACCAGTAGAGAATGCCCCGTTTTACCAGAAATAACCAGAAATAGCACTTTTCAATTGGTAATTGCTATCCTTCGCGACTGCCGACAGGGCATTTGCGACTCATTGTAGAATGGCCCTAATAGCGTTTCGATTATACAGGATTTGAACGACCCAGGGTTGATCAATCACTATTTTACTATAAATGCAAGTCTTTCATTGGTGGAGAGGTTGCAATGACGTCATTAACCAACCCTGGGTCGTTCAAATCCTGTATAATCGAAAACGCTATATCTCTACGTTCGCCATACTATATCCAATATTCAATAAAAAAATTTATTTTCTAGTGACTAATACAGCTTTAATAACACCATGGATAGCCATTTTCCTATTGGATGTTGGATGTTGTATCTTAAGGAAATGGACGCAATGTGAATCTTGCATTATATTTGTGAATAATTAACAAAAAAGTATTTTGATTATTTTTCTAAATAATTGCTTTTTCATAGAATTATAACGATTTTTTTAATTACATATATTGCAATTATCTTTGTATTTTGGCCATAATAAGAAATATAAAAATCCGTAGATCCAAGAGAGGTTTTCATGGTCTTCCGTACGGGATACAATAAACCAGACTCGATCGTGTGCATCGTGTGCTATTATTCTGAACGAGAAGGCCGCCATTAGTATGCGCCATCTGGCACTTGCAGTGACGAAGTATCGAATATATCATGAATTTGGAGTTTCCCATCGTCGAAGACGTTATTATCGAGTCGAGTTGCAACGGATCCAAGTGAGCACGTCCTTATCTTCGATACCTTCGAGGTTATTATGGTTTTTTGTTCTGTAAATAAGCTTTCACAAAACTAACCTCAATTTTCGACTTCCCGATTGAATAGAATTCATTACTTTACGGGACATTGAGAATTGATTTAAAGAGCGATATTTAGTCGTAGTATTTTCACCAACAAAGTTGTTTTATAATGCTTAACCTCCATGTAATGAGAAAAGCTTTCCAATATATAATATTGCTACTAGATGGAAAGATTCCTGATTGATTAAATACTTTGTCAATTTGGAATTAAAGTTTTTAATGGTGCACAATTCAATTGGAATTTTATTTAAAGCCTTAAATGCTGTATATAACATGTAACATATAACATATTAATTAACTCAGATTTTTGCATCAATCTGTGGGAAGATACCTCTGGTGACAACAAATTTGTGGAAATTTGCTATAAAATGGTGGCAGATAAATAGAAAGGATCAGTGGAAACTGCAGATTGTATAGTAACAAGTCTATACTCAGCTGAATTCTTCGATTATTAAGGTATTTTATTTTGTTATCAAACTTTTATGCAACAATAGATTGAAATACATTGTGAAAGAAAAAATATACAAAGATAAGAACATAAGATGTGCAAAGTATATTTGCAAATATTAAAGAAATACATAATAGTATTAATAGTAATATATTTTAAATAAACATTTTTTTCAACAATTAAGATATTTATTTTATTACTAGAATTTTACATAATACCTTCCATAAAATAAAATAGGATTGTGATAAGCTTCCAATATTTACTGCCAGTACTGAAAATTTATAGCATATGTAACATGCACTATAGATTTTCAATACAATGGCAATAAATATTGAAACACTGCCATAGACTTAATGAGTACGTCTCTATGGATTGTGTATATATTTTGTTAATATTGATTGATGTTTATAATGTTTATTTTTATATGTATATTCACAATTTGTATATTAATTATGAAGATATTTTATTATAAAGATGTAGCAAATAAAACAATCTTGCATGTAATTTTTATTATGTTACATGGCAGATTAACAAGTTTGCATACAAGTAAATTAATTTTTTTATTATAAATTGACATTATTATATTTAAACATATATTAATATTATATTAGTATTTTTTATATTGTTCTCATAAAAGTATACTTTTTACTTTGATAAAATGATAAAAAAATTACTAATGTAATAATAATAACATATATTAATACAGTTTTATTTAAATGTTTTATAATATTGTGACAAGTATAAAATATATATATATTAATTATGTAAAATTATACTATCGTAAAATTGATATAAAAATATAAATGTTTTTTATATTAATGCAATTGTATTATATAATATAAACTATTAAAATTTAAAAAAATTACTAGAGATGTTACTTTCAAAATTAAATGCTTTTATTTTATATATTTATAGCAAAACATGTATTTAACTAAAATGGAATCAAATTCCATAGATTATGTATTGTCTATACATAGACATAGTTTACATTGTTTATGCATAAGAATGCATATTTCAAAGATATTCAAGAAAAATATCTTTATTTTATCTCATTTTAATTCTGTTTGTTTTAAATTGATTAATATGTGACTCATGTAAATAACAGCTCTGCATGGATCTGTTGTTCAGAAAAGAAGAGTATTTTCTATAGTTTTATATTAATACGTACTTTTCTATGGATAGATCTCTTCTCTTCTTCTTTTTTTTATTTTTTTTTTTTTTATATAAGATTGTGAGATCGTATTTGTCGCGAGTTTACTGAGGTAAATTATCTAATCATATGAATGGCATTAATTTTATCTATTCGAAATTATGTTACACGAAGATGCTCTTTATCACACGTCTTTTTATATTTTGTACTTAATTTTAATTACTTTAAAGATAACACTTAGTGTTTTAAGGTGATGTTGTAGTTATTAAAGAAAAACTACTCTTTTTTACAATAAAAAATATGTTTAACTTATAGGCTAATATAATAAAAAAATTGTTCACAGTTTTTTTTTAAATCTCTTCTACTCTTAAAATATCTTTTTTCTGTCACATGACAACAATAAACCAAACAATAGCCTAATTGTTCCTATGTTTATTTAAACAATATTTATTATATTTATCGTAGTTTCAATGTGGCTTTCAGTTTCTAAAAACCTGTGAACAAAGATAACACAGTCAAAGTCTTTAACATAATTCCAAAAAGATAAAAAAATGCTATTGGCAAACTCAAAAAGAAAAGAAAATTGATAAGTTCTTATCACTTTTCGTGTGAACCATTTGTTTCTAAATTAAAAACTGTCAATTTTAATTTTATTTAGAATAGAAACATGCTTTCGAATAGTCCTGTATTTAAACCAAACATATGTTATATAATTTTGTTCTGAAATCTTTATTTATATACTTATTTTTATTACATTTTATATTTTTCTTAATTCTCTTATTTGTTATTATATATAAATACGTTACCAATATGACGAAAATAAATAAAGATGTTGATTTTTAGGCAGAGAACGTGTAAAGAATATTGCTTCAAGATGTTTATTACACGTTGAAGTGCAAAAACAAGTGATTCTGAAGCAAAAAAAGAAGATGTCAAATTCTGAAATCAACAAGAGTGACCACAATTATAGCGAGTCAGAATATTCTCAACATATACCTAGTGTCGACAGTGACACTATCAATAGCGGATCTATGATGACGATGCCTATTGTGGGCCAGATTAAAGACATCGATCAATTGAAAAAGATTGCACCACGTGTTCGCTTACAGGACACCAAGCGTTTAAACGAATTGGCAAAGATCTCGTCCTTAAGCAATAACAACGACAAGACACAACAGAGCAAAGCATCCACTCCCAAGACAACTGCGCAAGAATTGAAGAAATACTGCCGCACCTGTGCTGGCTTAAAAGTGCCTCTGGTACATTTTTTTTTAATATCAAGTAGGACCGTGTTTTGAATTTGACGCCTTACATTGGCATTTAATTGAAACGAACGAAATTCAACAAAATTTAATAAACGAAAGATATGGGTCTATTTAAGTATGTATTGGCTACAATATCAGCTAAAAGTTGCTGAAATTTAATTAAAATAAATAACTTATTTTATATTAAAATATTAAATAGATTTGGTTTATATAGAGCTACAATATTAGAAATTGTAACTGTATAATATTACAGTATTAACAGTTTATAACTCACAGCTTAAGTTCTAATGTTTTTATTGAAGATAATAATTTGTATGGGATTTTGTAGATGGAAAAGTAAGCGAAGATGGCGATAGTGTTTCTAGTTTTTCTTAATACAAAATTCAAACACAACTAAAAACATATTTTTATTTAGGAACTGAATCTATGATGTTATCTTTTGCATAAAAATAAGTAGAAAAAAATAAAACAAGTATTAAAGCTTGCAAAAATTCGTCGGAGAATAGATGCAATAACTGTAACGTAACAATCTTATTTTGAATGCTTCTATTTTTTAAGTATTGTCTACTCTTTACTATTTAATTAGTCCAGATAGCATAAAACATCTTGGGATCATCCTAAATATATTCCGATGTTCTGAGAAATGTCTCAGGATATTCTAAGAAAAATTCTATTAAAAAATCATGAATAGATTTTAGGTAATTTAATACATCAATGCTACGATGAAATGTTTATGCCCATGAAGACTTGTCTCTATTTAGTGGAATTAGAAAGGAGTGCTTTACTATGAGCTCTTATAACTCAGCATATCATTACAATCAACAACTAGTCTTTATACAGAACAGTGATAAAAAACGATCATAAATCGACGCAAGATTATCCTCCTCCAGAATAACGATGGCAGAAACTTTGATGTATTATTCTGTTATTATTCATAAAAAAAATATGGCTAAATATCCGACAAACTTTTGCAAGCAAATATAAATGTCAATAATTTTTGTTTAAGGATAATAAAAAATTTTATAGTTATATAGAAAGATTGTATATAAGAATTGGATAAGATTGCCTTTGATAGCTTTTTTTTAAAGTAAAAATAGAAGAAGTTAAAGAGCTTAATGATGTTTAATTACTTGCAATTCAACTTTTCTTATTGTAACAGTAATGCACTCACAAAGTGCTTTTTTTAAATTGTAAAATTTCTTTTTACATAAACCAATTCTTTTTATCATTCTTTATACATAAGTACAAGATACAATTATAAAAGTGCAAAAAATGATATTGGTTATTTTGTTTATTACGATTATTATTGATTTTTTCGAACTAGTTATTAGTTTTATGAGTTAAAATTTGGGCTATTGAATTTCTACTTTAATGTAGCTTTATCATGACCATTACATAACTTTTCTATTAATAGCTTAGATTAGCATCGCCTATCTTTTATCATGTTTAATTGTTATGTTATTATAGTGTTATTGTCATGATTTTAATTTGTGCAGGTGGATATCTTTGGTGAGAAGGGTATTCAAATGCGGTTGAGCCAACAGATCCGGCATCTTAAAGTAATTCATCCTTATGATAATCTTTCTACACAAATGTGCATGGACTGTATTTGTGATCTTAAAATGAGTTACAAATTCTTCATGCAAATAAAAAAAGCCGAGATGAAATTAAAGTCGATGCAGGTCAACTTGACAACTAAAGATATGGAAATAGAACTGATCAATGAATCTTCACCAACAAAACGGGAAGAGCAATCATCTTGCTCAGGTAATATGACTCTTCTTTAAAAAATTTTTTTTTTTTTAATATATGTTGAATTTTAGATATATATATATAGCAAATATAATTGTGTATTAAACCATATAAAGTATATAACGGGATATGGAAATAATTTTACATACAAAAAAATGGAAAATGTAAGATAAAACTTTTTTTATATTAGGCTCTGTTTTGAGAAAAATATTATATAATGTTATTAAAATAAAACGGTTAATAAGTTATTTGATTTTTGCACTGGCGAAGGGGAAAGGGAGAAAGACATATTATCAGAAAAAAGAAAACAAGAAATTTTGCGAAAAAGAAAACAAGAAATATGAGAGTTTGGAAAGCAAAATTTTAGAAGAGTAGTTAATACAGAGAGAAAAAAAGGAAGAGAGTCTCTACTCTCTTCTTGAAGAGAGATACAAAGAAAAAAGGGTAGATAGGGTATTTTATGAGATTGCTAGCAGGAGAGGTAATTGGAGAAAAAGGAATATCGAAGAGGAGATAAGGAAAGTATATCAAGGACACCCTGTATATTTATAATGTGACCTATTTTAAATGGCCCAATAAAAAAATTTCAAAAACTAAACAATATTAAAAAAAAGTTTTCGACAAATGTTATAAGGTTTGAAAAGAGTAAGAAGATGGTGATACTTATTTTTGAGTAAAGGTTTTAAAAATTAATTGATTTTTCAAATTCATAGAAGATCCTTAAATATTTTTAAAAATATCTAAATAAAAAAAATTTTTTAGATAAAAATAAAGAAAAGATAAATTAAAAATTAATCAAAGAATTTTTAGCTTAAAGATAGTACTATTAATCCAAGATATTCTGTATATCACACATTCTATGTATATTTTAGAAAAAATTTAAAGTTTTTACAAGTTGTAAATTTGTTTTCCAAAATATTAACAACATAACGAATTACAACATTCTTTTAAAAGGAAAGGAAAGTGCAACATCCTACGGAAATCAGGAAAATTTCCACTCTTCAGAAGCGAAGCAGGAATCTCCCATGATCCAACAAAATCGCTCTTTATCACCATCAACAAAGCAAGAAAACCAATTAGACTTAGGAAACCAAAAAGATGTTCCTAAGATCTGCGCCATTTTCTCATTAAACAATAAATCGAAAGTCGATTCCGAAGAAACAGAAGATGTACAGACGGGCGGTGGAATTTTCGAAGAAATGATAGAAGGAGAAGATGAAGAATCTATCGAAGAATTTGATCCTGAGGATCCAGCTTTCCAAGAAGATGAAGAAGAGTCTGAGAAGTCATCGGCGGCCGTGTATAAGTACGACATGATGGCGAAGTCTTACGTGAGGATGGATGAAAGCGAGGCGGTTTCCATGAAGTCTACAGTCTCTCAGATATCAGAAAGTGAGGGAGAAAAAGATGGAGTGAGACAACCGAATATATTGAAGAGAAGACTACTGATGCCATCAATGGTGACAAAAAGTAGAGGGGAAGATGAAGTGCAAAGCGGAATTGAAAGCAGCCCGAAAGACTGTAAAGTGCAAAAGCTAGACTTGAACAATCCATTGAATGTGAATAGCACTCCAGAAGAGGACGGAATTATGTATGTGACCGTGAAGGGATCCAAACCGAATGAGATTCTGCTAGTAAAGGTGAGTAACTCAATACTTTTTTTCGTCAATATTTTTTTTTTTAAATCTTGCAATTTTTATCCGAAACACTTTCGTATCTTCCTTAATTTCCGAGATATTTTTCTGAGTATTTAAAATAGGATATTCTATATACAGGGTGTTTCATAATTCAGGAATCAGAATATTGTAGCATAAAAGTTTAAAAAAAAAAACACAAAATTAAAAACTTTTTTAGGATTTTTTAATCTAAGTTACAGTTTTTAAATTATAAGAGTTTAAAATTGGCCACTCAAGCTCTATTAAGCGGTCACTTATTCGTGAGTCACTAATATTGTCATATATGCAACTCAGGAAACAAGCGACTGTTATGTCTGTTGACCTGGTATTCCCACTACTAAAAATTGAATTTGTATATATAGCAAAGTTAAGTGCTAATTTATTGCTAATTTATTGTCTTATTCCGGAATTTATTACTCCAACACATTCTTGGAAAATTAATGTTAAAAGTAAGAGTGCTGACTTAACGTTAAGCTAATATCTTCACTTTCAAAAAAACATGTTTAGAGATAAAAAAGTATACCAGAATTTTTACTAATTTATTGATACAACGTATTGCGAACAGATAGTTAAAAAATTTATTTTAACTTAAAAATAAAATAGGTGATAGGTACGGCGGTGCTAGTTTGCTATAAGAGCAAACTATATTAAAATAATTAGTTGCTTTGGAATTTTGTAACATTTTTCCTCTATTTATTGTTTTCAGAATATACAATTTGGAATTTACTCTTCAGTTTGTTTCACTGAAAAAATATGGATTATAAGTATGGCGGTGCTAGCTTACTACAAGAGTAACGTGTCTTAAATTAATGAGTTGCTCTGGACTTAGTTGGACCTATGTTGGAGCAATAAATTAGCAAAAAATTCTGGTATACTTTTTTTTTATTTTTTTTTATTTTTTTATTTTTTTTTTAAATCTAAACGTGTTTTTTAGAAGTGGGGGTGCTAGCTTAATGTAAAGTCAGCACCTTTAATTTTAACATTAATTTTTCGCGACTGCGTTGAAGCAATAAATTCTGGAATGGGACAATAAATTAATAATAAATTAACACTTAATTTTACTATATATGCAAATTCGATTTTTAGTAGTGAGGGTAGTCAGATTAACAGATGCGATTGTTTAACTATACAGTATGATCGGCTAGTTTTAGTTCTTATATTTCAAAAATTATTGCTTGGATTGAAAAATTGTAAAGAACGTTTTTATTTTGTTTCTTGAAAACTTTTATGCTATATTTTGCTATAATATCCTAATTCGCGAATTACGGAACATCCTGTATACATACATTATAATTAATATTCTAGGTTTTTTTTATTTTTAGGTTAAAAAGATGGAAAAATCTTTGGAAACAAAACGCTCGGTAGCTTCCGCCGATGTCAAGCCTGTCGAACGTATTCTCAAACGTTACGATACGTTGACATCAAAAGACTACTCATCTCGACGTTCGGACGCTCGTGAGCAAATAATTGAGGAACAAATCGAAGAATATAAAAAGAAACGAGAAAAGATTTTTGGAGATAAGTCAGTATTGAATTTTACCCCAAATGACTCACGAAAAGAGACACAGGAAGAAGAAATTTCTATCAAGATAGATCCTGAAAAAATAGAAGAAGAACCGATTATTTTGCAGGAAGAAAATGAAGAAAAAGAGGATGAAAAGATAGATATAGACGAAATACTGATCGAAGATAAGGAAACTGAGAAAATAAACGACGATACGGAGGAAGACTTCTCAAAATTATCAAGATTGAAGTTGAAATTAGTTTCGGAAGAAACAAAGCGAAAGAAGGAAAGTTTACAGAAAGAGTTGGACGAATCATATAATGAAGGAAAATTGGAGAAATTGGTGAGGATTCTGGGAGAAGATAAGAATCTACAGGTAATAAATATCAGACTTATCAACACGCACTTTTTATATAAGAATTCGATATTTACCGAAATTAATTTATACAAGGATGCTTTTTGCACTGTATAATTGCTCGCTCTTTCGCCAGTCAAAAACGCGCGCTTATTCGCCAGTTTTTTAAAATTAATTTCTCCACATTGCAAAAATTGCGAAACGGCAAAGGACTTTTCTGTCCGGCTTATTGTATTCTATTCTTTCACGAGCGTTGTCGTGGTTATTTTGAGACACTCTGTATATACATAAATATTATCAGATTAGCAATGTATACATATTTATTTTTATTATTTTATATTTATTATAATAACAGAAGAGTCAATGAAAAAAATATGTATATTTTTAATATTTATGCATTCAAAGTGCCATGCAAAACATGATGTACAGGATAGGGCATTTGAAGTATTACAAGCTCTCATCTCTGAAAGTGGAGTGACACTTTCCATTCAAACTTCAATAAAGTTTTCTGAATCGTGGCAACATGCGGTCTAGCATTGTCATGCAAAAGTATTAATTTTTGTCGTCTTGTCGCGCATACCGGGCATTTTTCCACTAATATCTTTTTTAAACGGTTTAATTGTTGGTTGTAACGGTTTGCTGTTGTAACCGTCTGACGAAAGAAGCTCATAGTATAACACACCATGATCGTCCCACTATATACAGAGAAGAATTTTTGATTTAAATGTGACTTTATGTTAACAGCTATCATTTGTTTATCAACGTAGAATAGTAAACTGTTAATAACGAAAAACTTATTGCTTTAAAAGTAATAATTTTAAACTAGCATCATCTAGTAGAAAACTTATAAACCTAATAATTTCTTTATTTTATTATTAAATACAATGTTGAAAATGTTATCCCCGTTGTTCAATGCACAGTTATGTTCTTCTACATAACGACTCATGAACTCTTTTTAATGTGGGTTGCACTTTTAAGTAATTTTTAGGTATTCAAATGCTTGAATAATTTTATTTTATAATTGGTTAACATTTTGATTATTTTTATCATAAACTGAAGTTTTGATAAGAATATGAAATAATTGTTTAACACATGACGGTATTTCAGCACATTTTAAATGAAATGTCTGGAATTTCTTAAAACAAAGAAACAATTGTTGGATCGATTGTGTAACAATAGTGTCTTGAGTTCCAAGATCATTTGATTTACACTAATTGATTTTTATTTATGGGATCATGTAAACATAATTTATGATACTAATAATCACAATCTTGATTACTTTAATAATAAAATTATTTAAGCGTTTAAACAATAAATGTTCAATTTATATTAGCAACAGTTTACTAATTCCTTCGGAAAATATATTGAACAACGAGGACATTTTCAACATTGTATTTATTGGTAAAATGAAGAAATTATAAAAACTAAAGAATTTGTGTTATTTGTCCAAAACATTTTATTGAGAAATTTTGAGTACTTAGAGTATTTTTTAACCAGAAATCACCTTATATCCATTTGTACTATGTTTTCCGCCGTATCTTATACAACATGATTATATGTAATAATATTTATCGCATATAATATATACTGCTCAACAAAATTATGACGTAGAAAAATTTTGGGCAAAAATTGGTCAACTTTGACTGACGATAACTCAACGAAAAATCATCGTAGGATCATGATTTTTTTTTAAATTAAAGCCTGAAATCTCTACTTTAAGATACTATTGCGCGATTTTAAGTTAAATGCACCTCAACGACTGTAACTTCTTAAATCTGAGGGTATGTTTGTCATATTGAAAATTGCAAAGTTTGACGGAATGCACGGACTTGCTAAAATTTTTTTGGGGGATGCCGTTTGCAGGTATCTTAAAGTAGAGATTTCAAGCTTTCATTTTAAAAAAAATCAAGATCCTACGATGATTTTTCGCGGAGTTATTGTCCGTCAAAGTTGACCAATTGTTGTCCAAAATTTTTCTATCCCATAATTTTTTTTTAGCAGTGTATATGATAATATTGTATTAACAGTGCAATATATACAGAATGTTTAGGAGCGCCAAGAGAATTTTCTCAGAACTAAATTGAAATTGATAAAACAGATGGTACTTATCCTCTAAATTGACTTTCTGGAGTTTAAAAAAAATATTTTTGAGCTCCCAACTCTTCCTCAGGAGATTTTTAGGAGAGAACAAACCTGTTTTTTGAAATTTTTTTATATCTTTTAACTTTAGACTTGAAAAAAGATGGAAAAACAAGACTGTTTTACTTTTGAAATTTTTTTTAATTTTTTAAAATTTACGTTATGAGGGATTAAGTCTCTTTAAGACTTGCGGGAAAACTTGTGAAATTTTGCACATGTTTTCATTTAAAATCAATAATTTATTTAAAGCAGTTTTAGATAAATTTGTAATTTTTAAAATAATATTCATTTTTAGTTTTGTATTTTGTTGCTATTTATATTTACGATTTTTTCTTTTATTAGTTATTATTTATATCTTTTTATATCTTTTTTATAAATTTTTTTTTATTCCAGGAATTTCAGGACTATTTAAAGCAACGCAAAATTGTCCTTACCCGCCTCAAAGACGAAGACGTAATTTCCCTTTATGAAGATCATTTCTCTACCAGCTTGAAATCATCTTCTAAACTTCTCCCGGATTTTATAGAGACTTCATTACTTACCGATCCTTTTGTTGAGGAGCGCTATTTAGAGTGCGATTACTGTTTGGAAACCTTTACCAACAGCGATACTCTCGAAGAACATTTGAAATCTCATGACTATCGCATGCTTCACTATTGCGAGGACTGCGGAGAAGAGTTTCCGACCAATAAAGGAAAGAAAAGTCACAATGTTATTTGCGTGAGAAAATTAATTTGCAAATATTGCGACATAATTTTAGATTCTAGAAGAAAAAAGCGTCAACACGAACAAAAACATATTGATGCCCTCTACGGTCAACTTTGTGAAGTTTGCGGGGAAAGATTTAAGCATCAGGGAACTTTGGACCAGCATATAAAAACACAACATACGACTTTAGAGAAGATTTATCAATGTCCAAAATGTCCAAAAAAATTTGCTTTAAAACAAAAGCTGAGTTTTCATTTAAAATCGGTTCACACAACTTTAAGAGCGTATCTTTGCGAGGATTGCGGCGCAGATTTTAAGAATCCTGCAAGTTTGAGGCATCACAGAATCAGGAAACACCAACCGGTTGGAAATAAGAGGGAATGTCCGGTTTGCAGAAAATTGGTGCCGTTTTACAGTTTGTCCAAACATATGCACACACACAAAGCTTACAGCATCCAGTGTCCGCACTGCGACAAAATGTTCAAGAACAGTTCAACTTTGAAGCAACACGTTAGGATTCACGAGGATCAAAGACAATATCGTTGCGACACTTGCGGCGTTGGGTTTAATCGCAGAGACGGTTTGCGATTGCACATGAGAGTACATGAGAAAACGGGTAGCAGAGGATTGAAGGAGTGCTCTTGCCAAGTTTGCGGAGAAAAATTCCCGAATCATTCTACCTTAGTGATTCATCGGAACAGAGAGCACAAAGACGGAAGACAGTACACATGCCACATTTGTAACAGATCAATGATCTCGACAAGATCACTTGAATGGCACATGTCGCATATTCATAACGAGTCAATGCCAGGTGATGTGTTCTTGTGAAATAATTTTCTAAGATATAATTATTGATTTATTAAGTTGTACCGTAAGAAATTGCCGTTTTGGAGTTTTTTTGTTGGAGTTGTTTTAAGTCAAACTAAAAATATAAGTTTTATTCAATCTGTATAATTTTTTCTAAAGAAATTGGGTTTATGACAAAATTTTTAGGTTTTAAGTGTTGCAATTCTAATTTTTACAATCTATTTTTCACTAAAATTGATCTGAAGTTGCTATTTTAAAAGCTGAGTCAGAAATTGAGTTTTAAAGAAAGAGACTTTATATTATATTTTATTATATTTTCAAAGAAATAAAAAACAAAGAAACTTAAATTTATACCAAATTAAAAAAAAAATATATAAAACTAAGTTGAAAACTGTCACATAAAATATCGTATTATTATATTATCATCAAACAGTGTCACACTTTAAATATGTTTTAAATATGTTTTAAAAACACTAAAAATATTAAAAATGTAAAATATTAGTCTGAAGTTATTTTAAACGCAAATTTATATCGAGAATCAAGGCGTTTTTATTATATAAAATGATATGAAAGATAGAGGTTACAGCTTTTAAAATTATAGTGACGATTTTTGTAAAGCGGTTTTTGTATATCAGCTTACAGCACTTCAAGAATTAATTTAAAAAAAATTGAAAAACAATATTGTTATAAATTCTAAATAACACAATTAGGAATCTATTTATATTAACTTTATTGTGATTAATTAGTCGCATATCAGATATTTTATATGGTACAACTTAAAATATAATGATATTAACATTGTTACTAATAAATGTACATATAATTAAAGTTTATTCGAGACAGAAAATTCGAGAATGTAGAATTTTATTTATAAAATATATAGAATATAAAATGTAATATAAATTAATATAATATTTAATTAATATATGACATACTTTAAATATATAGTATGCATCAATAATAATTCTTTTTGCAGGTATTACTCGCGATGAATCCGGTTTGCACGATAAAAGACGTGTTTCTTGCTACCACTGTAATAAAACTTTCAAGACGGAAATGATCTTGCGCACGCATATTAAGAACACGCACATGGAAAAGGATCCAATGAAGTGTACTGATTGCGATTCATCTTTTACGTCTGAAGTACGTTTACGCCATCACATGATGATCACACACAACCGTCTCGAGGGCACCTTAGAGTGTCCTCGCTGTCCGAAACGATTCGTGAATCAGTTGAGGCTGAAAACTCACATGATTTCTCATTCTGAGGAAAGACCATATACTTGTGAGATATGTGGCTTTAATTTAAAGACAAAGATACAATTAATCAAGCACCATCAAAATAGACACAGCAACGAGAGACCCTTGCAGTGCAGGTAAATATTAGATTAGGTTTGAAAAGACTTATTTATAATATTTAAATTAATTTTCAATTGCTTGTAATATTCACATAAATTTCTAAAATAAAAAATTAAATTTATACAAGAGAAAGGCGCGTATGATAAACTATCGAATTAATATAATACTAGACTTTATCTAGCCGTCGCGGTTGTTGATGTGAAAATTTATTATTTTTTATATAGAAACTTATTCATCTACAGACGTTCGATTTAGCCACTCGCGCCCTGATATATTTTCTTTCGCTTTTCCTTCTTTCCTTTAATGATTTCCTATTTAATTTGTACATTCTGATTCTCCAATGTGAGATCAATGTACTTAAATTTCGTACACCTCAATCTGAGATCGGTGTACAATTTAATGTCTCTATGTAAACGAATAAGTTTCTATATGAAAAATAATAAATTCTCGCACCACCGCGACGGCTCGGCAAAGTTTAGTTATTATATTAATTCGATTAAAAACTAAAATTTAGAAAATTGCTCGATAACAGATCACTGATAGGTTTAAATTATAAAAAATTTTTCACTTATTTATTCATTATTTCTATTTATTATTTATCCCTTAGGTATTGTCCTTGGCGATGCAAGCAAGTGAGTGCTCTTGTCTGCCACGAGCGTACGCACACTAACGAACGTCCATACACGTGCAGCGTATGCGAACAGCGTTTTAAGTATCTTGGTGACAAAAATAAGCATGAGCGGCGCCACGAAAGCCTTGGTGGTTCAGGCTTCAAACGCATAGTACATGAAAGAAATATTAAACCGAAAGTACGTACCGAAGAGTCCTCTGGATCAGAACAAGAGGAATCGGTTAAGGATATAAATCAGCACGACATCCACCAGGAGGTTGCTGAAGATCAAGAAGATCAGGAGCAGATAGTGAAGTTTGAAAGCCAGGAAGAATATGAACAAGTGTACGAGCAGGTAAGAATTACTAACATTTTATTTTAAAAAGATTAAGGACTAAAGTGAGTGATGAGGAGAGTAGCGCCATTATACATACAAGGATTGGCATGTTACCAATTTTAAATATTGATACTTGATTTTTTATCCATATAAAATTTTGCATAATCGTGTATTTAATTGCAAGGAATATAATTTGTTATTTGTGTAGCGTGCATGCGAGAACGCGCGCGCGAGTATAAACTTATATTCTTTCAAATAAATTTTACTATGTTAATAAAAAAAAAAAGACTTGACATTAAAGCATAAATCAAAAATCAAAGTTTGCAATTGAGCAATAAAATTGATAAGTATGAAATGACAAGTTCATACTGCAGTTATTTGATAAAACGTGTATATCATTCAAATGATTATGTTTGTTTATACTTATAGCTCTTTTTTCTGTTGTTTTATTCTTCAAAAGTTTAATTGTTTTTAAAATCGTTTTAAAAATATTTCAATATCAGCTACAAAAATTTACAACAAAAAAATGAGAGTTTTTGTTTAATAAAAAAATGAAGGTAATTTTACGTGATTATGACAGTATCACACAACATCATTCGAAAATGCTTAGTTTTCAAAATATTTAGAAACTCCGGATTTTTTTCTGACTTCTACATATTTCTTTTGATTGTCTTTTCCCTCTTTTTGGTGTTTTTAATGCCTCATTGCTTTTCCAGGAATACGAAGAAACTTCGAGAGAAGCATCTGAAGCTACAGAGGTGATCATGAATATGGAGGATTCCAATGTATACACAGAAGAAGTAACGGCCGACAACATAGAATCTGGCACGGAGATCATCGCAAACGAGATCATAACGAATGACATTCTGCAATCTGGTGCCGCTGTGATGCATCTGCAGCGACAGGACAATTCCGGGAAGATTCAAGTGATACCAGTAATGTTGTCGTTACCCGATCTGTCCGACGCAAATGCTGAGGTTAACCTTGCAACCGCATCCATCATGTACAATAATTAGGTTTGATTATTTTATACTGTAGAATTTACAGAGGTAAGATTAATTAAATAGAACATTATGATCAAAGAGGATAAAGCAAAATGTGAAGGACGAAGTAATGAAGCTGACTACGCTATTTTGATATCTGCATATGTATTGAATAAAATATATATAGTTGAAGTAATTAAAATAACACTAAGTATAGTACCCAATGACCTATATACCGTAACGGATTCTCAAAATTTGAGCCAAAATAATATAGCGAGAAAATTTTTCAACAATTAACTCGTTGCATATGGCTCATGAAATATCTCGTGTTTACTGAAATGACTATTGAGGCTGGGTCACAAGACTCAAATTTTCTCATATTTGCATTTTATTATAATCGGTATTATTGGTTCGAAAAAAAGATAAATCAGTCAGTTTTATTGCGTTGATCGTACTACTGTCTAAGCTATTTTGTTATCTGAAAGCCAGCATCCTACATTTTTGAAGGAATAATTTTTGTTAGTTTATAGCTCTTAATTTTTAAAAAATAGAAAAATGTCTCATACAAAAAATGGAAGTGAAGGACTATTATTTGACGATTTATCGGATATGCCGAGCAATATTTTCAATAAAAATGAACTTAATGACATTCCTGATGTCAGAGATGTTATTAAACGAAGAAAAATAAAATGAATAAGAAATACAATATTTCAAGTGATAGTGAAGATTGGAAGACAGAATTCATAGATTGAAGCATCTATAACTGAAGTATGGACAGAGAAGGATACTTTTCCCAATTTAAAACTATTTAAAGGAAATGCTGGTACATTTCCATTATTAAAAAATATTGTAATATCCAAGAAGCAGTTAATTATATGTATTTGGAAATGAGTTTTTCTCGAGAAACTATGTGAGGAGAGACAAATATTTATTATTCACAAAATGTTATAAACATAAATCTGACTTAAAACAGAGAAAATAAAAGAATATTTTGTATATTTAAATAAAGAAGTTGCTTGGAATATTTATTTTGATGGGACAAGTATGAAAGTATAAAATAAAAAATTATTGATCCATGAATTCACTTCTAGAAATTTCTATTTTTTCGAAACTAATGAATAAGAATAGAGTTGAACAAGTGGCGAATGCACTTTAATGATAACATAAAAATAAATGAAAAACGAAACATTCTATAAAATAGAACAGTTTCAATTATAGATTAATCGATGAACGTGAAAACACCGTAACCATTGATATCAAACGAAAAAACTAAAGATATTCTTAAAGTTAATAAAATTCTCTGCTGTAAAAACCTAAAAAATTAAAAACAAAATGTATAAAATGGCGGCATTTTAAAGTTGGAAGTTAATTTTTTGCCTCTTTTTTACAGACTCATAAAAAAATAGTAATTTTTAAATATTGTTATAAATTTTACGTTTATGCATTAGTAAAAATTATCTTTTACAAAAACAATCGAAGTTGACTCGTTTCAGAGATATTACGCTCATCAATTTTGACAATATGGTTTCGTGAAAATTTTGTTTAAAGTTTTATGATGATAATTGTGTTAAAAATCGGTCAGATTTTTTAAATTTATCGTTAATTATCTATATCAGGTCCATGCACAATAAGCCTCACAGTAAATCCTCTTTTCGTTCTGCATATTCGAAAAGTATTCGAATAAGATCATTGAAGAGTTAATTTTACATTTTAAATATTTTAATATTTTATACTGAGACATATTTTTACATGAAACATGAAGTATCTCATAGAATATTTTTTTATATAATCTGCTTAAATATTTTTCGCAGAATAGGTGAAAAGAATCGATTGATTGCGCCGAGGCCCGCCGAGTGCACATGGATACGCTTCTCGATTGTTTGTGTGTAGCTCGCGGTTACAAATGGCATCACTGGTGGCGCTAGTGTCAGTAAATTGCGTGCGCAAAGAACCTTTGCGCATGTAAATGCTTTTCAAGCGCCTAAAGGTTTGTTCGCGTCGCATGTTCCAACATGCTTCTACTCGCTCCGATACGCTCCAATCTATAATATACGTAACGTAATACTATAGATTTGAGCATATTGGAACGAGTAGGAGCATGTTGGGGCATGCAACATGAACAAATCTTAGGTTATGTGTAGATTGTATTTTCTTTGACGTTTTCAGTGTTAGGTAGTATTAGTACTTATAAGAATCACTTATGATATTCATTTATTATTTTTACCTAATTTATAAGTTGAGATTACATTATCTTCGGAAATGCTTAAAGTAAAAGCCTTGGAAAAGTAATTTACTAGTTTCAGAGACATCTGGTGGTGACATTTTTGGCATTTTTAGATGTATGGGTAAAGATTGGAGTTATGTCTCTAATCTTTTTGCTGCTTGCTGTTTGCGTCTCAAATCTGGCATCACTGGCTCTGATAGTACAAGAAGAACTGAGCTTTCATTAAAAACTTTAAAACAGAAGAATACAACCCATTTTCAAGAACAGACTCACATAACAATAGAATATAAATGTATTTGTGTGTTATCTATATTTTACCTATAAACCGATCTGAATCTGTCGAAAGTTTTCAAACTCGTCTAAATAAAGCCATCTTGTATTTGAACTTCGAGCACATGTTGTCTCTACGCCTCATTCCATTCAATGTATAATTCCGAGAATTTTCTAAATTTCGAAAAATTCCTTCATACACATATTTTAAATACATAAAGAATTCAGGAAATGCAAAAAAATAAAATAGATTTCTTAAACTTGCTAGACTAGAACTCTTTTAAAGCAGTATACAGAAATAATAATAGAAAAAAAAAACAAAAAAATTCTCAAAAAGTATACGTAAGATATGTGCATTTAAAGAAAAAAGAAGCGAAACTAGATGATTACAGACTATGCCGCATAGCATTGCATAAAGAAGAATGATTCATTAAATATCATATGTTGAAGCATTATTGAGTATTATGAAATACAATAAAACATAAATTAAATTGACAATTAACGTACTTAATTTTATTAATGTAAAATAATTAAATGCCTTGCAATAAAATTTAAAAAATGTAAAATTATTAATGCAATAAACAAACATATAAGACGTGTATAATAATGCTAAAGAATTTATAAATGTGAATAGAAAAAGTGCTTTTATGCTAACAAGGGGATGACCCAGTTTTGACATTACAGATTTTGTCGAACTTTAAATATGTATAGTGTACGCCTCTCACTACGTAGCTGAGCGAGTGAGGCGCCCGGTTAGAATGCTCTTAAATTTGAGTGAAATTTTATAGCATGTATAAATTGTTATTAGTTAACGTCACATGTGGAATGTATATGGAATAAGTTGTAATGTATATGAAATAAGTATTTGGAATATTACAGAAAAAACGTAATGCTAACAATCACATATGATACTTGGCGTATACTCCTAAATCTATTAATCTGTATAATTGAATTTTGGAATAATGTAATTTATTGTATATATTGTAAAGCCAGCATTTCAGACTAAGCAATTTTTCATGTAACTTATTGCAGCGATTTAACTGCCGCAACTTATTAGTTGCAGCAATTATTTTTGAGATTTATTACACTATATGCAACTAAAGTAACATTTCTAACAAATTTAGATATAATCTAAATTATTTCAACAGAATAAAATACTATGATTATATTAGCACGACACAAAATACTATAATATTGTCTTTTTAAACTAAATACACAATAAAAATATTACTACAATTGCATGCAATTAATTGCTAAAATTAGAACTGAATCTAAATTTTGTGCAATCAAATTGTTTCCGAAAATTGTGTATGATAACAAAAAAGTTGCGGCAATTTATTGCGGCAATCGAATTGTTGTAACAAATTACATAGTCGGATACAAGCTTATATTGCATTTACAATTAACTATGATGCTTTTCAAGTGCTTTTCTTATTTTAAAATTGTTTATACAATTTGTTGTAATAATTTTTTCTCAAGTATAATATTTTTTATATTATTTTTAGAATTTAGAATTTATAACTTTATTTGAAATAATAAAAAAATCGAAAATAAATTTATTGTTAATTATATTTTGTTATTTACTTAGAAAGAACATTTATATAAAAAAAATATTTCTCTGAAACCTGAAAGGTTATCAAAATAATTTAACAAAAAATTTTTTAAAAAATTTTCTTTTCGTAGGGTCTCGCGTATCATTAATACGACCATGCTAGTCAGGACTACTGGAAAATGGCGTTGTGGTGCGGCGCGAGCTCTCGGTCGCTACTCGTCTTCGATGAGCAGCTATTCGCCATCGTAAACTGGTACGCGTCACATGGATGTGACCATTGGGAATGAGGTGTGCGAGGAAAAACGTCGTGAAGACAGTTGTTTGAGTGATTGGGAGAGAAAAGCCGACGGGAATAGCTGTTTGTCCATGTAAGTATACATAATTGTAATTGCGGACGCATATGTCGACCTGGGAGAAAATCCGTAATGTCGGATGTTGTGAATTCACAACGAGTTGTCGGCAGCGGCAGTGACTGCGGCTGATCGGTCGTTTATGTAGCGCATGCGTAATATCATGCGATCGAGTTTTAACGGAGTGTAGAAGGTGTAGAAAGTGCTATTTATTGTGGTTAATTTGTTTTTACTGCATTTTCCACATTTTTAATATTTTTTTGGAATATTTAATGATAAATATAATATATATAAAAAGTGAGAAAGAAATACAACAATGTTTATACGTAACATTTATTTTATTATGAATTGGAATTATATAGTTCAAAGTTCATAAATTTTTTTCTTTTATATGGTACATTTAATATATTGATAAATCTTTCAGTGTGGTTTGACTAAAATAAATTAATAAACATTTATAATTCTGATACATAAGATCTATATTTTTTAAATATAATTTGCATATGATTTTGAATCATATTATTACAAGAAATAAAACTAATTTATTTCTTATTTCTAGCCTTTTTCTATCATTTTTGTAAATTTTTTCTGTTGTTTTTTTCCTCATTAAGTGAACTTTTTTTATGTGGTTCTTTTTCTTTAACATATATAACAGCTAATTAATTAATTAAAAATAGATATTATTTTTACATTTTTGTACTTTTATTATCTTTATACTTTTTATGTTATTTATACTACTAATTTTTCAGATTAAGTAAAATGTCTTCTGTACAAGTGGATCGTCCTCCGAAGATGGGGCAAAACAATAAGAAAGAGAACGAAAAATCTAGAAAAGCTTTCAATCCTTCACACAAGAAGCACAATAAGCATGATGATAATCGTCACTTTAAGTTCAGTAACAGAAAACGTCCTCAGAGCAGCTTTAACAGCAGTGGAAAGTTCTTTCCACCTTATAAACGTAGAAAGAAGGAGGGTATGATTATACCCCCTACAAAATTTTTGCTTGGTGGTAATATTTGTGATCCCTTAAATTTAAATAGCATGCAAGATGAAGAAATAAATAGGGCTATGAATGCAGTGACTCCTAAATCAAGTCCACTTCCCACTCCAAAGCACAAAAAGGAGGTAATTGAGGTGATTATTCCTCCAAATATATGTGATCCATTGAATTTAACAAATTGCAATGACAATGAAGAGTACGAGAAGCAGCTAATTTCACCCACAAAAAAAAATTCTAAACGAAGAAACAGGAAAAGAAAGAGAGCTTCTTCTGGATCTGGAAAGGATGAAGCAACAATGGTAAGTTATGCTATGTTTGTTTTTATTTATAGATGATTTCTGTTTATACTCACATAATTACTTATAGATAATAATTCATTTATATAGATTTGTTTTTATGGATAATAATTTCAAGCTGTGATTTACATTATTCAAATTCTTAATATTTTTAAAATGCTAAAAATTATTTTAAATTTTTTCATCATTTTTGAAATTTAAAATCTTAAAATTAAAATAATTGTCAAATTAAAAAAATTACCTTTTAAAGTTCTTAAAGTTCTTGAAAATTAAAATTATAAATATTAGAATTTGTTAAAATTTTTTAAATATTAAAAATTTTTAATTGTGTCAAAATTTTTAAAAATAATTTTGAAGATTCTTAAAAATCTAAAATTCTTAATATTAATATTAAAATTGTTATAAAATATGTATGTGTATTATATTTATCGTAAATATATTTATATGTATTATATATTTTAGGAACAAAAACAGATAGAGTCTGATGAAGCCAAAAAGTTGAAGGAAACAGAAGGCAACAATAGTGCAGTAGTTGAACCTTTAATGGAACTGCTTTTCGATGAAAGAATTAGCTTAAAAGAAATGCAAAATGTCCAAAATGAAAATAGTTCGACTGAAAATAAAACAGAGAGTCCCCAGAAAGATAAGAATAAATTACGATTAAAAGGTTTGGAGGAAGTAAAAGATAAAAGATTGAGAAAAATTGATGCAAAGGATAAAATAGTGAGTCCAGTGATTCCGCAACCCGGTGCGTGGAAGCCCAGACCTCAACATAGGCCTAGCCAGGACAAGAAAAAGAAACAACAACATACGATGCCTAATTTCAGGCCCAAAGACGCTAGATATCAATATGGAAATTATAACAGGTACTATGGATACAGAAATCCCCATCATGAAGTGGATCCTAGGCTAAAAGTTTTTGCACAGCGAAAAGAATTGTTTTTGAGAAAGGATATTCTGGATATCGGATGCAATATTGGTCACATTGCGTTCTCAGTCGCCAGGGATTTTGGTGCTAAAAGTGTCGCAGGAATTGATATTGATAGAACTTTGATAAATATCGCTCGGAAAAACGTGAAATATTATGTTAATTGTGTGCAAAGTCCTGCAAGCAATGAAGACAATGAGAGGAGAGATTCTTCGGATGTCAGCTTCTTTCCTATGTCGATGCCAATTAGTTATGGGCCTGTGGATATTCCAGGATTTACAAAACATAAACAACACAAAGGATTTCCCTACAACGTTACTTTTGTGCAGGTAATATAATTTAATATAATAAACATATGTGTATAGGTAATGTAATGTGATAAAACATATGAATTCTAGGAACAATCTCATGAAAATGCAACATATAGTTGTTTATAATTAAATACATTTTTACGCAGATCTATTGCAATTTTATCAAAAGTCTGTTCTTGTGATTTATTTATAGTTATAGCAGCAAAAAAATTCAACTGATTAAAAACAGATAGAGTCTAATGAAGCCAAAAAGTTATTAATAAATTAAAATAAAATTTAAAATTTATATTTCATCATATTTAATTGAATCATCCTTATAGTTAACATTTATAGTTATATCTATGTAGTTATCGAGAAATGTTGGCAATAAAAGAAATTAATTAAATTTATCTAAGAACTTAAAACATTTTGTTATAATAATCAATTTTTCCATATCAGCTGATTAACATTCTTGACCATTTTTTTGGTTAAAATATAAGGCTTTAATGCACCGCATTAAATAAAGTATGTATTAAAATGCCAAGGCTACCAAATTTTATAATATGTACATTTTAACGTTTTAGATTACTTCTTTATTTAAAATATAAGATTTCATTGCATTGCAGTAAAAAAATGTGATATAATATTCTAAAGGATAAAATGTGCATTTTAATATTCTAGGCCATTTTTTAAATTCTAGGCTTACCAAATACGCTTATGAGGATAAGTCAGAAATTATCCGCCATTTTTTCAAGTAAAACATAATTCAGATGTTACGAATAATTTCTGACTTATCCTAATATTACTTTCTTAACATATGAACTGTCAAAATATTTTCAATGACAGTCGCTCACAATATATATTGCGTTTTTGATTCGATCACTTAGCGATCAATTGATTCGAGAAAAGTGTAACAATGCAATTTCGAACTTTCGTTACAAAACATACATTTCATGTGTTTTATGTTTTTTTTATTATGGATTAAATAACTAATTACTAAATAATACTATTGAATTTTTGATAATTGTTTTTAAAATATAAGAATTTAAAGTTGAATAAAATCGTAGGCTACATTTAGATGACAACTTGTCCATGAGTTATGTATGTAATAGTTTAATAATTTCTCGTTCACTAAACAGAAATTTATGTTATTATCCACTTGCTTACAGCGCAATAACGTGTAATGAAAATATTGATTGCAAATTAGTGTAAATAAGCAATATAATTTTTATGTTTAATGTTAGTGTAAAAGATATTAGTGATTACATATCTTTATCATTATCATTACTTACTAACATTGTCATACGCGTAACTCACTTCATCAAATTTTAAATGTAATCTGTGATTAGTAAACTTTTAAGTTTTTGTATTTAAAAAGTTATTGTTTAGAATGAAAAGTCGCAAATATTTTTATTACTTAATTTTTTGAAAACCGCTATATATGCAAATATTAGTTGATTTACGCGATATATTAGTTTCTTTATCTTTTATAATTACATAATCGTATATATCACTATAATTATAATTGTATTATATCATATATATTTGTTTTCAGTGTAATTATGTGCTTGAAGACGATTCACTTCTGTGTGGAGAGCAGCCGCAATTTGACACGATTTTATGCCTTTCCATCACTAAATGGATCCACTTGAATTTTGGCGATGCTGGTTTAAAACGAGCTTTCAAACGTATGCACGCTCAATTGCGACCTGGCGGAGTTCTTATATTGGAACCCCAAGGTTGGACCAGTTATGTCAAAAAGAAGAATCTCACGGTAAGTAGCGATTTTTACATGTCTTTTTGGTCTCTCGTGTTTATCAAATAATTGTCATTAGCATCTATTATTTTGGAGACAAATATTTTGAATAAAATATTTTTAAATATAAATAATATATTATTATAATGCACACAATACACATACATTTTATAATTTTGTATAATAACTTTTATATTATTTTATACATATATTATCACTCTTATAGCAGTCATCTTAAATTAATATGTATATCTTTTATTAATAGTCTACACCTTATTTTGGCATTCTATTTGCGTGTGGTTTTCTTCAAATTCTAATTCTTCCATTTGAATTAAAAATGTTAAATTTGTTATTAAACACGATTGTATTCCAGAAAGTTTGATTCTTAGTTATATATAATTTAGCAAATTCGAAATGTTTTCGTTTATTTGTTGTATTAATAAATGATTTTCTCCTTGCTACACTAACATAATCGAAAGTATACCACAACGAGATTGCGTTAAAGATTTTTGCATACATTATACTCTTTTACTGGACAATAAATATCGAGCAGAATCGAAGTTTTACCAAGGTTTTACCAAACTTTCCGCGATTCGTGATTGTAAGTACAATGAAATTCGAAGGAAACTTAAATCATCCAAGAAGTTGATCCTGCGTTTTCGATATTTTTTAAATATGAATTTGTTGTTTAAATAAAAAGTATATAGTATGCAATGGGAAACGTTGAGAGATGTACTTTGACGACTTTGAAACGATGTCCTAACGTCTCCCAAGAATTTGATCTGTCGGTGCATCAATGTACATCAATGTGCAAGTGCCGAAAAGTCATAAAGCAATGAAGGAGTAATACTCGCTTCTAAACGAATGCATGCACGCACGTGCGCGCGCTACAAGTCTGATCACGTAACCTCTCTGTGGTATACTTTGGGTTATGCTAATACCGCTCACATTTGATATATTGGGAAAAATTGTCTAAAATTTATATTTTTACACAATGAAAAAAATCACAGATCAATTTTTCATAGCTTGTTTTAACAGATGGACTTAAACACGTTCCCTGTTAGACCGATTTTTTATGACTTTCCGTTCACGTCGCATGCTCTCTACATTGCCTAATATTTTTACTTATAACATATGTGTTATAATGTTTATAAAACTGCATAAATCATTATTAGTAAAAAAGTGAGGTTTAAAATGTTTCACAGAACAAACATGGTCGTTTTAAGAAGTGTTTGTGTATTTACACAATTTATCAAAGAAGGGAAAGAACTTTATTTCTTTATAATTTTGTTAATATTTAAGTCCAAATACTATCAAATTATATATAGAGATTTCTCCCTTTAAAATAAGTTTAGGGAAATTATTGCGATTTTTTTTGTAAAGTTATAATAGTTCGAAGATCGACAACTTTTCAGCGGAAATTTAGTAATCCTTTAATTTTGCTGACGAGTGTACATATACGTATCTATATATACATATTTGCATGCACACATACAATAATGGTTATAATAACAATATGCACAACAATATATATTATATTTTATTTTTATCTTTCAGGAACGTATTTATAAAAATTATCACAGCATCGAATTTCGACCACATAAGTTTACACAATATCTTCTATCTTCCGAGATTGGCTTTTGTAAGTGCGAAGTCATCTCCATCCCCTCTCATCCCTCTAAAGGATTTCAACGACCCATACATCTTTTTACCAAAGCTGGTGGTTCTTCTTCTACTGTGACTGAAGAAACCGATGATGACGTCGCTAACAATGCATTATCAAATCGTCAAGGGAGAATGACAAGAAGAGATCAGGAAGAGATTCGTGATATGGAAAGAATAAAATATGAACTGGAATTATTTCCGAAAGAAAGTATCAATAGAGGTAACATTTCGGAGATTAGTCAACACAGTGGGGATTTGAATCAATACGAGCAGTTGGCGAACGTTTATGCACCCAGCGCTACGCCATGTTATGATACTCCAAGTCGCAATAGTGATAGCCAACCTTCGGATATTCCATCTTCTGACGCATTAAGGATAAAAGAAGAAAAAGATGAAAATTTATAAAAGGAAAAGAAAGAAAATATAGTTGAAGAAGAAGAACGGTTTGAAGCAGTAAAGAAAAGAAAAATTGTAAGAGGGAAAAGAAAACAATATTAATAACTTAAGAAATAGATAAAGATGACGGCTGAAAGAAGAAAAGAAAAAGGAAGAGAAAGAGAAAAAAATATTAATTGAAAGTATTTTTCCGTATCCATACAAAAAATTAAAGTCAACGTAAAATGATATAAATTGCTTCAGTTTTTTAAAATTCTTTTTTTTTTTTTTTTTTAATAAAAAAAAATGTTTCACAAAATTTCTTTATTCTTTTAACTTTTGGTTTATTTTATTACAAGTTTCTATACAATATTATAAATTATCTGTTGTGCTTTCTTATCTGTGATTTATTCATAAAAGATAAGGAATAGCTATATTGAAATACGATTAATAAAAAAAGAGAAAAAGAGACAAAACATCGATCCATATATTTTATTTCTCATAGCTTTAATTCTTTTTATCTATGTTTGGTATTTTTTTCTTTTTCTATTTCTTTTTTTTTCGATTTTTTATAATATTTTTATCCTTGTTTTACCAAAGTATTAAGAAATCTAATTAATGCGTTATGTAAAGATTATTATACCGCGTCTATAGTATGAGAATTTAATCTTTAATAAGCGTAAGGGTCATTATTACGCATCTATACATATGATATCAAAACCTAGTACTTATTAACAAAATCACGTCGAATTGATGAAATTATGAATTATGTTAAAAAAAGGAAAAGCAAAGATTAAAATGCCAGTCAGTGATAATGATCAAATCAATAGATTGTAAAGTTGTATAGTTGTGTAATTTTAGAATTAGAGATTAGAAGATTGTTATGATATATTGGCTCGCTTAATTATACTGAATCTTTCTATTTTTTTCTTTTCTTTTTGCCTATCTCTTATTCCATCTTCCTCCTTTTCTCTTTTCAAAATTAGATGCAATAGAAATAGATCATCAAAATGTTTATGCGTTATTTTTGTTTTATATTATTTTGTTTATTAAACATAATAAATGCATGTTATTTTGTTTCTTAAACATAATAAATATTTAATTTTATTAAATATTTATTTTGTTTCTTAAACATAATAAATATTTAATCTTATTAAATATAAGGTTAAATAAAAATAACGTATTAGAAAAGCGTATTTTTTTATCAATTTAATGGTGAAGTAAGTCTGATAAGTAATGTTCAACAGAATAATTCATTTTGCTCTTTTTTTTACAGTGCCAGAAAAGAATTGATATTATTTTCTTTTTTACATATACTGTTCTTAGAGTATTTGTATTTTGATAAAATAAGAAATTTTAAACAAATTTTTTAATGAAATGATTATATTTCTTTACAAAATGCGAAAGTACATTTGGAAAATAATTATAAAGTCTTGAGTTGATAATGTTATTCTTTTTGGACTTAATACTGTATTTTGTTTAAAAATATACAATCATATCATTAAGAAATCTTTTTTAATTTACTTTGTTTTTCCAAAATATGTAAGGATTTTTGGACATTCTGCACAATTTTTTAATGTAACTTTTATAATTTTTCTCTTTTCTTTGCCTGTATATATTATTTGCTTCGTCTTAAGTGCAGAAAATACAACATATTACAACTGAGAAAAGAATAGGTTTAATAATGATACTATATAGTAAGAATCTGCGAAGAAGTTCTTGAATGTTTTAAAGATCAATCGATACAAATGAGAAACGCTTATCATGATGTACATCATATTATAATAAAAAAGATATTAATAAAGAGAATTACTTTAAGTCACCAATTTGTTTTTCTATTGCATACTTTTCTTTTTTACCTCAGAAGTGTTGTCACGTTGTTGCAAGCTACAAGCAATTTGTGTGTTTGTATTGCCTACACAATTAGTCTTTACGTCGCTTCCCAAAATATCACGATTTTTTTATCTTACAATTAGATACCTGTATTTTTATGCTGTACGGTCAAATTAAGTCGTGGTACGCTTTAGATAATGCTAATTCCGGCGGTAATCATTCTGTTTCTATCGAAAAACACGCATGATTGAGCTATTACATAACGAAAAATTAGAAAAAAAATTTTTAAAACATTTATTTAATGTTTTCCAATAGAAATCGGTATTTTTTTGGATGCATTAACGATTCATTAACATGCAGGCCACTACGAAAAAAAAATCGCAGCATTTGAGTAATTTTTTTCAGTATTCGGGATACTTAAAATTTGAAGAAAATATATTAATCTTAATTGTTTAATCATTTTCCATAACGGTATATTAGATGCAGGTAAAAATGTGTGTAATATGCAACGACACCAGGAAGTTATCCAGCCGCCATCGTTGTCATTAATAGTCTGATATCTCCATGGCTGGTGGGACACGTATTCTTGAGAGATAACCCCACCATACAAGTTTAATCTGCCAAACTAGCTGTTTTAACTTAAACATTATACTTTTACGATGTCTTCATGTAAGCCCACACATTTTTTATAAAGTTGGTGTCCGGAGATTAAGATGATTAGTCTATAATATATTAGTGATATTTTCTTCTTTTTATGTGTATAATTGATACTTGGGATCTCTTGAAGAATTCAGTCTCGATTATTTTCTTCAAACTAATTAAAAAAAATTTAATTAAAGTATTTTTATATAGATTGCCTGTAAAAACGTGCAATGAGCCAAATTCTTTTTTACGAAAAGTGCATCTTTATCGAGTGTTTAATGGTATTAAAAGTAATTAGACATATTATCATTTAATAGAAACATTAATTAGTTTTGGGTAATACATTTATATTTGCAATAAAAATATTCACAAATATAAAAAATATTTTTGTTTTATTACGCAACAACAAATAATATGTATGTGTATTTAAGTAATTAATTAAAAATTATTTAAAAATTTGAAAAATGTATTTGCAAACGCGCTTTTATTGATTAATGTTATACACGATAATATCATACACGAAATAAGTTCAGATAGAAAATTGCATGGTTGCAAAACGTAACAGTTGTGATTAAAGTATATACGCTTCTAAAAATTTACAAATATAATAAAACTTCTCCCGAATTGTGACATCACAATTTTTAAAAATTCTTATGTTAAGAAATTATTAGTTTTTCTTATGTTACATATGCACATGTCGTGATCACTTTCTTGCGAGTATATAGTTTATAAATATATTTAAAACTTATTGTTTCATATGGAAGTACAAAAAAAAATGAAAAATGATTCCATTAATAAGTATTCGGCGAAAAGCAGGTATCTTTGGTACATGAAACCGCAGTGCTATCAAGCGTTGCTTGTTAGATGGTAGCGGAGGAGTAGCATGGATTATACGACGGCGGTGAGATCATTGTCCCTGGCTGGTGAGGTTGCATGGTGAGGAATGGGGCGGGGAAGGATGAAATGGAGAATCGGCGCGCCGAGCAGCTTTCAGGCTTCAGTCCGTCCGTACGAGCAGGTCAGATTGGTATGTTCGTGCGCGTTCGCTCGCTCGTTGTACTTGCTTCTCGATTCGCGCTTGCGCTCACGTTGCATGTTTCTTCTCTTTCGGAAAAATTTTTTCGGAGAAATTACTTTTAATTATCAACAATAGGACGGCGGATGACCATCAATATATCGATCTGGTGAACGCAACGATCTCGATCAATCTGTCGCGAATCTCATTGCTTGGATTCGTCGTTCACCTGTATTAGCAATATTCTGATCTACGTTTGCTTGCTGTGGTAAGTCTCTTTCACAATTTGCCGGCCGATTTATGTGTATCTCGAATGTGTAGCGAATAACGAAGACACGAGGCGAAGTAAAACGCGGGCTGAGTTTGTATTTCTCAGCGATGAAATCGTCACCGCGTTGAGGCGTCGCATGTAAATTTTCTTGAGTATTTGTGTTCGTTAGGTGTATCTGCCTTCCTACTCTTTGCCCGTGAAAATGAGTATGTAGTTACCGCCGTCATATCGCGGCGTTACGCAATATTTAAATTTGTATTTTTAGGCTTAGAGACACACACTGTTGCGCGCGCATACACCATCGCGCTACACACGCACCATACAATTGATGATCTTATTATCGAAACATTTAAATTCATATTTTAAAAAGACACGAATTAAAGATCCAAAAATGTTCGAAAATGTTTCATTCTGTAATAGAATTTTTATTTTGTCAATTAACATTTAAGACAGCGTCGACTTTGGTTTTTTATTTAGAATGAATGAGAAAAATAACCTTTTAATAAATAATAAATTTATTAAATATAAGATAGAGAGAATAATAATGCCTTCAATTGATATTTTATGTAAGTTTGAGATATTTTAGTTCGCTCGTTTTTCCGCACTTTCTTTTTAATAGCAAATTTCAAATAATTTGTATCGTAAAATATATTTCACAGATAGAATTATCTGATAATCATTGCTTGCAAGTATTTGCATTACGAAGATTTGAAGTCGAAGCTCGTAGCACATATGACAAAGTTGGTCGAAAGAGATGCGTTAAACGGGAATGTAAACTGATGCGAGTTTAAAAGCAGGCGGAAGAAAATGTATACTTCATATTTCTATCTAGTTTTATTTGTTGTCTTGTTCAGTTTTATGTCTCATGTATGGATTCTTTTAACGTTAAACTGATTCACATAATATTTGGGCAAACCACCAGTGGAAAATCGGATCGGTTAAACCGACGCAACATTATACAATGTAATTTATTTGGGGGAAATTGTTTGACAATGGACAGCATTGATCTAATGTCAATAGGCGCGTCATCCGCTAATCACCAAGCAAGTACTTGTAAATTTAAAAAAATTAGATAAATAATGAAACATTAATTTTTTTAACATTGAGAGAACTGATATATTTGGGTATTTTGAAATTTTACTACATAACTTATTAGTTTCTTATATAAATAATGTAAAAAATTCTTTTACATTCTTTTTCCTTATACAATAATTATGCAACAAAGATTTATTTGTTCACATCCTTTTCTCTATTTCTCGGTTTTTCTTTATTTAAATAAAATCATTATTTAACATTATTTACATAACATTATTTAAATAATGACTTCAAAATAAAAACAGTTTTTAAAATTTGTGTTTTTTAATATTTAATCTTGAATATTAAGTCAATCAACTGCTGCTATCGATAAACTCGTAAATAAATGAAAAAATGTTGATCCAGTGTTGATCCGTTCTTTGTCAACAGCAATGCATGAGAACTGAATAAAAATTTATATGACGAAGCTATGATAAAGAACGTGATGGCGTGTTCAATGTTAATTTTAATACATTCTGCAGCGTTGCAAGACTGTGTGACGTTCGTAGCTCTTTTGATCAAAGTATTTGTTGGCGAGAAGTTTCGGCCCGATAAGACAATGTAAAGACAGACAAGCAATAACGTAATTTAAATTGCATTATCATTAATTGTCGGAAAAACTGTCGCGCAGAAGATGACTTCTGTTAGCATTGTGTCACAATGATTTCGAAGATACACATATTATTGTCAAGTTTTATCGCAATAGAAATGAAAGATAAAGATATTTTATTTAGTTGATTGTATATAAATCAAGTATAAATTGTACACATTAATTTTATTATAATTTATAAAAAAAAATATATATATATATACACTGAGAAAAATGTTCTGTTTGATTCAACAAAACAGATTCTGATTGAATCTACTAGAATCTTGTTGCATGAATAGAAATTCTAATAGATTCAACCAGATCTGTTTCGTCCAAAATCGAATAGACGATTTGTTGAATCAAACAGAATATTTTTCTCAATGTATATATATTTATATATATATTTTAAATTATCAGTTATGTAAAGATCAAACAAATGAGAAATTTGCTTACATTAGACACATGATTGTACATTTAAATATGTATAGCAAAGTATTCGGTACTTGCACAGTCGTCCGCTGGACTGTCTTGCTAACTATTAACATCTAGTTACAACAATTACAGTCTCAGAGTATTGACCTCAACTATATTCTATTATATCGGACGAAATTTGCAATGTATTTTACTGAAGTATTTCACTGAAGATGGTCAGATTGTGACCAAAATGTATGAAAATTGTTTAAATATAGAAGATTATATATAAAGCAAATACAACTGGCGTTGGCTCGATATCCTCTTCATCGTCGTTAATTTATTCGGTATCTTTTATTGGTGGGAAAAATGGTCAACACACACATATGCGGAAGCTATATTATATGTTATATCTAAGCGAATGAGATGATAAATCACATGGATTGCGTGAAATTTTAAGACAAAGATTTATTGATCGTCTGATCGATTGATCAAACTTAGTGCATGCAATATATACGATGAGAATAGTTTGACCCAGACCTTAAGAGATTTCGAGGTCGGCTGCCACGCGTCGAGCAGCTTTCAATATATTTCATTCGTTTAGCCTTGGTAACGCAGTGGATTTTTAAGCTTTTTCTTCTTTCAAAACTCAAGTATTTCACTAAAAATATCTCTAAGAAAGTCTGTCTAAAAGAGACAAAAATAAAAGCTATATTTATATTTTATTCGGTGGTTTATTCAATGAAGGCGACGGATTTAGATATTTTCTAAATGTTTAGTATTTTATTTAAAAAATTATGTTCTTAAAAAAATAAAATATCTGCTGAGATTGTCTCATATAATACATTTATAATAAAATACGCTCATTATGTACGATTTATGCGCTCTTAGAAAACTAAAATAAAATAGAAGCGTTTGAAAGAGAAATTTTTATGACTTATGATTAAATACAACTATTGGAAAAGAAATCCATCTATTAATTTTTGGATTAAGAAGTTTTTATTACACAATGATGATAAACATGTGTAGTGTATTATGCATAATAAAACTAATTTTTAGAAATTAATTATTATATATTACGGAATAAATATTTTATTTTTTATATACTACTTTTATATACTACTATTTTTTATATAATACTTTTAATTTAATACTACTGTAAAATTATATTTTTAATATTTTTCTAAGATGGTTATATTGGAAAAAATGCATTTTGGGATAATCTATTTTTTTATGTATCTACATCTAATTATTTTCTAAATTTTGAAAAATTATTAAACCCACTAATAACATAAAAAAACACGTATATAATAACATTAAACGTATATGATAACATTACATGATCAATAAAAATTACTTCTAAATTACGCGATTTAATTTAATTTTGCATTTCAATTTAATCTTTTGCTTACAAAAATTGTTAAACTAGTAATCTCTACCTTTTAAAAACTTTTTTTTAAAATAAAAACTATTTGTTTTGTTTCAGGAAAGTGCCGTTAGAGTAACCCTAGACTGAACCATACACGAATAAACGCTAACTTCGCTCGCAACATTGCCCTACGTGAAAATAAAGAATTTCCAATCTTGGTTGTCGTTATTGTCGATCATTGACCCGATTACGTGTGCCCTCACCGTTTCAACTTGGTTGAAATGTTCTGCGCACGATCATCGAGAGAAGAAACGCAACGAAGCCGGAGATGTAAGTTTCTGTTCGTGTGAGACGCAAGAAGAACGATCGAATTGAAACGCGCCAATGAGCTATGATATCCGTCCTTGAAGATTCAAGCACGTTCGGCATGGGATGCGTTGCAACTCTTTCGGCCGGCTAGTCACGAAGTAATAACCTCGATACTTGTATGATATTGTTGTGGCGCTTCGAGGAAGATAACACTGCAAGAAAGAGAGAAGGGGGAGAGGGGAGAGAAAGAGAGAGAGAGAGAGAGAGAGAAAGAAGAAGAGAGAGAGAGAGAGAGTGGGAGGGAGGGGGGAGGGGTCGGCGCGTTCTTTAATGGATGATCCTGGTTGCATTCTGTCGGCTGCAAGTCGTCGTATGCGAGGAAAACGAGATTCGAGAGAAGGAAGAGAGACCTTGAAATCCTTTGGCTGTTGCGAGGGTTTTATGGTCATATGAGAAGGTGCACTAGAACATTCTTGGGCTTTTCGAAATGGTTCGGCAATATCTGTTGTTCGCTCTGCTCGTTTCGACGCGTTCAGAATGATGGATTAAAGTCAGTGAGCGACACGTTGTGTGGTGAGATTGATGCAAGATTAATCTCTCGGTGATATGTATCTAAATGCATCAGTGAATTGTTCTGAATAGCGCAGAGAAACTGAAATATGAATGAATAGAGACGACAGTGTATTGGTGATAGTGGTAAAAAATCAGAGATGTCGCGAATTTCAAACCGCATCGCCACGATCGGCGCGACCGTCGCTATCATATTGCTCGTGATACTACTGATAGTCTTGTGGTCGGACGTGCGTAATGTGGATAAAATCGAGAATCTCAGTCAAATGCGGAAGAATTTATCAATTAATAACAATATTGATGAGACGCAACAAAGGCAGATCAGCGGTTCGCGCGTTGCCACGACAGATTTGATTATGTCGATCGAATCGATTGAGCAGAATTATACAAACGAAGGTGAGTTTTTTTTACTTATTCAAAAGGCTTGCGCTTTTACTTATTCAAATCTTAGCGCGGATCTGTATAATTCTGATCCACTTTTATTTTTGCATTTATTCACTTTTTTGTGGATGGATTTTAAGCAAAATGGCAGATATTAATTGCCATGCAGGCAACAAATTTTGTATTTTATGATTAGTAAACTACATCAGATGAAAAAAATACATTTATTTTTTTGTGGGGCAACTAATGTCCATGATTACTTGCGTTTTTCTCAACTGATCATCAGTTGTATAGTTATTATATAATATGTTCTATTTGTGCAATAATACGTAACGATAATTGCGATATTGTCATTAAAAAGCCACAAGATAAGCATAGAAGCCTACTCAGTAAACACAAGCTAACAGTAACATAACATCAATGTTATAATTTCCCACTCAACAACGTAACTGCAATATACGCCTTGCACGTAACAATTATATTGTTGAGTGGGAAATTATAACATTAATGTTATATTACTGTTACTTTGTGTTTACTGGGTGAATTTACAAAGGTTTAGAGAGAGAGAGAGAGAGAGAGAGAGAGAGAGAGAGATACAAAACTAGATTTAAAAAAATTTTTTGAAACTAATAGAGAAAAGGTGGGCAGCCTCGTTAATTCGATACTTAATTCAAACGTGTTTTGAAAATTATTATTAATGAGAAAATAAGATAAAAACTGGTTAAAATTAAAGGAAATGTATTTTTCTTTAAAATCTTAATCTTAAACATAAAATCATGATAATATTATAGTGTGAAAAAAATGTTATAACAGTAAATAAAAATAATAATTTTAAAGTGGTGGGTAATTCTGGACAGATAGTTTAATTATTAGCAAATATTTTTTTGCCACACACATCGCAGTTATAAGCAAATTGATGCTGAATTTATAAATACATAATTCTCATGCATCCAATGTATTGTATTAAATCCAATATTTAAATGTTTCACCACACATGCATTCAGTTTTGTCGCTGCAATTTTTATTTAATTGATCCATTAACTTTTATGTTTTTTTTTCTAATAGAAATTTTTTAAAAATTGATATTATTTTTGTAGATTATGGATGTTAATATTTCGATTTTTGAGTCTTCCGTTATCTCGTATTCAATCTTCTTTGACAGTTGATGGCAAAGGCACAAAATTTTTTATGCAGTTTTAAAATCTTCAGTGAATTTACTAAATAAATGGTTGTAGGTTTTCGGATTTATATTGTTTGTAGGAACTTAAAAAACACAAAACACCAATGTTATATTATCTCCTTTCTGATGTTAGTTTCTTCTTTATTGATAGTACACGTTGACTTTTATGAACGCAAGATACTAGTTCAGGATGTCATTTTTTAAATCCTACAAAAAGTTCTTTTGTTTTTTATAATTTATATATTCTTATTGAAAACGCTTTCCTTTAAACTTTTTAACTAATATTTTAAAAAAATTTATGAAAGACTATTCAGAAATTTCATTCACAAGAGCAGACAAAAAAATATAACAGTAGTCTTAAAAAAATCAGAATATATTTCTAAAATGAAAGAAATGGTTGCGGATAATGACACATAGAAGATAATTAAAAAAATTTCAATCAGAACACTGACAAATGATTTCCTCTCAGTAAGGTAAAAAAAAACAAATATTACAATGATTATAAACGATTTATAAATGCTAGTTGTTTAACGACGGAATCTTGCCTAGAGCATACGGGATGCTAGAGACTCAAAAATCAGACATTTCAGAATTATAATATATATAATATATATCTTATCTATTAACAGTATACTTTATTTGTTAGCAACATATGTACATAATATACGATCACTTACGACAGCATCTCTAAACAGTTATATTACCAATAGTCATGAATTTGTAAAAAGATTTAAAAACACAATAATGAAATCAAATTACAATGCAAACTAACCTTGTTAGTGTCACTTTTTAAAAACATTCCAACAGGATCGGCTGTTAAAAGTATTTCAAAAAGATGGAAAGTTCTTAAAAAAATGGAAATTTATATCCAAAAAGCTCAGATTTCACAAGATAAATTCATTATAGCTATTCGATTAATTCTTAACTTTAGATTTTTCAAATTTAACAACACCATTTACAATAAATCTTTAACATTCCCATGAACTCACCACTCTTCTATTATCGATGACATTACAATGCAAAATTTCGAGGAAGAGGCAATAGAAAAGTTACGAGTAAAACCTAAAATATATTATAGACTTGTGGATGATATAATATTAGTTGCACCCTTAATCATTAGAAGATATTTTAGACATATCTATAGTCTAAACACTCAGTTAAAAAGTTAAAAACTGAAAAAAAATGTAAAATGACATATCCATCAGCTAAATCGACGACTACGTCGTCGTAACTGGTGCCAACCATCGAGCGAATTCATCTTTTGCTCTGAATCTGATGATATGAGTTCCTTAACTTTACGAATTTAAAAAAAAAATTGTTTTAACGATGTAATTTGGATATATTTAAAAAACATCGATTTTTTAAACCCTTTAGAACTTCTTCTTAAAATAGATATTTTTAAACCCTCGGAACCTCTCCTCTCTCTTAAAATAGATATTAAAAAACATTTTAGGAAGTAAACAACTGAATTTGCTAAACATTTTTATATCAATTCTATAGCTTTTCTACAGCTTGAATTATAATATTTAATTTTTTCTTCTATAAGATAAATCCTCTTTCATATTTTGACATATAATTTGGTTTTCTTACATAATTTGTATGTTTAAGTTTCCAATATTTTTTGAAAATTAAATTAAAGAAAGGCATGCTCCTCATTCAACAAACTTTTAAATTTGATTAAGCTATTGTGTTTGTTTTTGTAAGTTTAGATTTTATCACTTTAAATCTCTTCTCTCTATTATAAAAATACTATTAAATTTTAAACAGTAGTAAGATATTGTTAATATAAAAGCGTTTTAGGAAATTTTAAAACTCTTTTGTGATACTCTAACAATAAGTAGTGCATATAAAAGAATACATAGTGAGAGATATATAATATTTTTCATAGTTCATGCTATTGATTAAGTGCAATTAAAAAAAAAATGAATTTATGCACACACACTCACACACACATACACACGCGCGCGCGCGCATATCTCTTTCTCTGCACAATTATACACAATTTTTGATTGAAAAGTATCATTAGTATTTGAAATAAAAGAAATTATATTCGGCTGTTATAAGATTCTATTTGTCTTCTTTCCTCCGCGCAAATGTTCCGAGAAACGATATCATTGCAATAAGGTAGATATACATTTTCACGAATTCGCTGGGCATGCTCGCCTTGCTCGAAACGCATACAACGCATAATCGCGGCTGCCTCGTGTGACATCGTACGTTGATAAGAGACGTATTCGCATACGGCCACGTTGGCAGCATGACACAAAACATCGCGCTTATATGCGAGTGGTGGTCGGTTGCGATATGAACTCATAACTTGGAAGAGAGAAAAGTGAGGAAACATTTGATGTATGTAACTAAAAGTGTAGCCGCGTGCACAAAGCAAACGTCGCTAAAAATACGTGCGCTGCGAAGGCTCGTGTTTCTGTCGGAATCAGCGGATGCGAATATCACGCGTTTTAACTAAGCACTACGTTGTCCTCGGCAAGCATCTTTTGCGGCGTTTGTGCACATGTTTCCAACTTTTTATCAATAAGAGATTGAATGATACGATTCCCACAAGTACATATAGGAAAACGGGTTTAATTAAACTATTTTTCCAAACAACATAAGTATCTAGAAAATATTGTAAAAAAATCTTAGTTTTTCCAGATGTTTTTCAGACATTTGGGTGTACCTTGGGTTAACTTTGATGGTTTTTAAAAATTTTTTTATATATATTTCATAAATTTTTAACTATTAATAATGATAGATTACTACTATTATTACTACTATTTCTATTTATCATTAATGATAAACTTCTTCTCGTTAAATACCGCGGGAGTGACAAAAACTGTGGGATCCTGATCTCCGTTCGTACACATACAACCTCCCTCCACACACACACATCAAATTTTAACCTGGAAATAATCACCCTAGTAGTTCCGTATCATTTAAATGAGACTTTGATTGTTAGTTTATGTTAATTTATATAAAAAAGCAATATGCAGACACATTGCAACTGCAATTCAAAAATTAGGATATAATCTTAGTTGATAATATTAGTGAGATAAAATTTTTTAAAAATGTTTATAAAGGAATACTTACTTTATGGTACATGTAAAAAGAAAGAAACAAATTGAATATCGAAGAAATATTAAAGATGGAAATGACACCTATGAATAATTGGTACACGAATGACACACATTAGGAGAAGTAATTGCGCCATACTATAACGCAATCCCCCTACGTTACTGGAATGAATGTCTCTTTTTCTTTCTTTTACCATTTAGGATTTATTCGATTCACATACTTATTTCTCAATTTTACACTATAACTCCGCTCGAGAAAATATGAGAATATTAATATTTATACTTGAATAATCTTTTTTATGAAATATAATTGGAGAAAATTCTATCAATTAATCTACGAGTTGATTTTGACAGTTTGCTATCTCATTTCTTCCTCTGATATGTTTATACACGTTTCGATATTCGAAAGACATGCATTATGCTTTATTTGTATTATTTGATTTGTAAACATAAATGTTGTTAAATAATAAAGAATAAGGAGCCAAAGAGCCAACAGGATGCCTCAGAATAACCATGACAACGCTCCGCCATGAGCTGAACAAAAAAAAATGCTTTATTATTTTGCCATTTCGCAATTAATTATTGAGAAATTAATTACAAAGGATTGGCGAATGAGCGCGGCGAATGAACGTTTCGCGCGAGTAGACCGTGGGATGTACGCTCTAGGCGTGTCTGCGGCGAGTGTTACATAGCGATGAAAAGTTTGATCGCACGGCGAGGACAGGGGTAACGCGCGAGCAACGAACGCGAGGAGAGGCTTTATC